CTACACTACACTGTATTGCTAATGGTTTTTGCACCTTTCAGCACATCACTTAAAAGCAGCATTTTAGTAGTACATTACGAAACATAAATTTTCCCAGCCTTCGGACCCTACGAGACGAGTACCCACTAGAAGGTACTTAGGTACAGTTCTGTGAACTCTTGTTGTGAAACTGTTAGCTCTTGGAATGCGATTTCACCAATACTTGGTAATTGTTATAATTGCTCTTATGGCTGTTTGTTTCATAGTCGGCAAAATAAAATACATGGAGGTCGATTAACTGACTCCACATTTAATCATGACTGGGTATTAACATTTTACAGTTTGATCAAAGTACCAAAGGGTTCTAGGTAATGTTTGGCAGTGGGCAAACATTACCTAGAACCCTCTGGCAAGATTATGGCTAACATTCTTGTATAAAGGACGCCTAGGTCAGTTATAAAGATGATGAATGGATAAGAAGTCTATTTTTACCAATACAGGAACATTACATACATATTCGATGTCCGATGGGTTGACAGAATTTAAAAAAAAAAAATTGTGCCCGGTATACGGCAATAGGCTCACCCTTAATTACATGGGACACATACCACAAATAGTGAAACGTGGGTGTTACATTGTACAGTGACATTAAGTGCCATAATGTGCACCTCATCCTACCCCTTCAGAGATAAAAGACGTGATTTTATGTTATGTTATGTTAGAAAAAAGGCAGCTATACTCTTTTCATTGAGAAAATAATATGTGCCTATTAAATTATCACATTAAATGGTCATGTTTATGGCATTTTCATTGCGGTTCATCCTCTGTGGTTGTGCAACTATTGCGTAACCAATAGTCGAACAGTTGTGACCGCAGGGAACCGGTCTGTACAACGGATCGAACCCGAACCGTTATCCTATGACCGGTGGTGCAAGGAGAAAGAACACAGACATTACTATTATAAAATGGCAAGAATAGGCTAGTTGCTAGGGTAAGAAAATTAAAAATCTAATTAGTCCGTCGGTTAGATAATAAAGAAATATTAGACACGTATTTTTTAGTTTCTTGTATAAAGTTACAATATTGTGGGTGGTTGTTTTGTAGCACGTTGTGACGTCACAGGATATTTCAAAGTATACTTAATGTATCAAGTATGTATATAGTAATGTATTTCATTTTTGTAAAAAAATGAAAGATACATGTCTAATGTTTTAATTTTATCCACCAGACGGATATTAAAATTTAGGAAACTATCCTATTAATGGAAGAGTTTTGTTGAAAATATAACAAATAAAATCTTTTCTTTATGAAAGGACACAAAATATACAATTCCATAAAAAGGAATTATGATAATTAATTTATAATGCAAGACTTGGTGATTTCAACAAATAGAAATTGATCTGTTACTTCTAGTAAACTAAACTAGAGATATTTTGACTACTAGTTAACTAAAATAAGAAGCAAGATGAAGAACCAGTTTCAGTTTAATTACACACGCTGTTGTTTTACGAACACGACTTATTCGTCAATATTTTAACACCGCATATTCTTCCAACTTGCACCACACACTCGTGACATAAACTAGTTTAAGAGGCGTGTGCCTGAAAAACCGTGAGATTACGAACAAACCGAGTATTTCGCACGAACGTTGTTTACATAATATTATGTAACAACATGTAAATAAACTTCACCGTACTACATTGAGTAATAAACTAAATCTTTATTTATTTTACGGTCTCTTTGTTTTATGGAGTGCGAAGTGTTAGTTTTATTGTTGAAAGTACATAACAATTATGTATACACGTAATAAAAGACTACTACCGGCTTAGGCGAGAGCATAGGGCTTCAATTCTTTGATTGAGCAAAATATAATTAAGTTTATCGAAATTCCCAAAGAGGTTGCATTTGTAGCAACACGTAAGGCAGTAAGTTTTATATCCTTCATCATAAGATTTTAATATAAGTGCCGATAATGTTGACGTTTCATTTTATTGAGCACCTTAATCTATTCTTTTGAGAATAAATATTTTATTTATTGATTAACATGGTAGACACCAATTATCTTCATCTATCATCTACATTAATCAAATTCAATTACAAAAAAAATAAAACTAAATCAAAGTATATAATAAAAAAAGGTGTTAAAAGTAAATGAGAAAATATAGTAAATTTACAAAACATTAGACAATGTTGGACAAAAAAAAAGAGAAATAAAAAGCGTGACGTTAATATAATGTACGTAACAAAGCTGTTGATTCCTTAGAGCTACATAGAAGAGGATAATAAAAACACATTCAAAGTATACAAAGGCTTACACCTACTACTACTCGGTGTTAAATAACTGTGTGCGTGGGTTGAACTATTAGCATGACATTAGTAGTATTCGAATTCCTAAACTAATTGATTTTTGAACAGCATCCTGTCAAATTTGTAATGTTATTGTTATTTATTTCGTATATGTTACATATGCTTTTAATATAGTCAGTCTTTTTTTTATAGTGATAAAATGGTCGAATGACTTCTCCCGCCTGAGTGAGGCGGGAGGGAGTGTCAGACTCTTACTGACTAAAAACCACCCCGTTCCTACTCAAGCACTTCGAGCCGGAGCCCCGGTAACCCGTTAGGTTCTCCGCGGCTAATATAGTCAGTATACTTGTAGGTCTTCATAGAACAATTAAGACTGCATTCGTTCGTAACAATTGTAATAACTACGTCATCCATCATCAACGGCCTATAAATATCCACTGCTTTTTTTTTCACTATTTTGTCAGTAGTGACACTACATCGGAAAATTCGCATAGGTACGTTTCGAACCCGTACCCTCATATGTGAGAAGCTGGCGTCCTTACCCTCCAGGCCACCACAACATTAACAACTACGTACTTACAAATATTTATGTACTAATGAAGTTATGCATTTGTTTCACATAGAAGACAAAACACAGGAGTTTTTAGACCAAAATGTCTATAAAAATTTTGTTTTTACCTGAAACGTTTCCGAAATGCAATACTCTATAAAACCGCATTAGGCATATAAAAATCTTTATAATACCTACATAATAAAATCAAACGACTGGTTATCACTAATATCGACTGCCTCGTAATTACTCGTTCAACATTGAATAAAATTTCTCTAGCGTGCGGTCAGTGAAACCCGGCCGCAACTCATGCGCAGCTTACATCAATAAAAACGAGATTAGAAATTCATATTCGATGAAAAAGTCAGGAAAGATGACCGTAGTTATGTTTAATTGATGTTTTCTTTGTAATTTTGTAATCAAAGGCACACCTTTAATTACTTAAACCACAGTTTAAGTGATGTCGAAATAAAAATGGTTTTGGTTATGGCTAATTGACTAAGAATGATTGTAGAAGAAAAAGATGGTTTGGATAACATTGATTGAAAATTAGTCATAAATTTGCAGACAAACTTACCAAATTGCAGTTTATGAACTGTCTGACTATAAACGATGTTACTCAACATTTGTATTTCCGAAAGTTAATCAATTTTTGTGCAAAAACTCGTTTTGAGTAACCAAATTAATGTTAATGTTTACTTCTGAACGGATATTACGACAAACATTTAGTGCTAACTAAGCTGTTATTTTTGCAAAACTAAAAATTAAATAGCTATAAATAAACAAACGAATCTTTATAAAGCGGATTACACACGGTACTTTCTCTGCGGTGTGTCAAGGTCTAATGTATTCAGTTACACTTATTGTTTTAATCGCTGAGCCGTGAGAGTAGGCTTTAATGCCAGTGATGACATTGAAGCGTATGTGTACACACGACGACACATCGACTTATACAAAACCAGTATAGGCTGACCGTACAATGTACAGAAAGACTATAGAACGCGAGACCATGATTAACTGGTATTCATAGCTTGATGTGAACTGTGTGTATTTAGCCAATGTTACAATAGCAGGCTTTTTGAAACACCTCGTACCTACTTTACGCCTTTGTAAGCCTAAGGGAACGCTCATTTGTCAATACAAAGCAACGCTCAATAGAGTTGCGATAGTACTCTAGCTTGAACAAAAGGAAAATTGAGCTTTAAAGAGAAAATCGTAATTACTTCAAGTATTTTAAATAGGTAGATAAATTGGTTTCTAGATGGGGGTCTCAAAATACGTAATGGTTAGTGTAGGTGGAATTAATTAATGACGAGGAATATGTTGATTGTTATGTAAGAAATAATTAAAAATGAAACACTGTAAATATTATTGAAAGAGGAATTAAAAACCTAGGTATTTCTGTCTGTACCGAAAAAAAAACGAGCGATCGGTGTTTGTGTCTCTTTCATCAAGTGTTAATATCAATAATCTGCTTATCCTTTAGAATAATAAATAAATGATTAACATACAATAACAATATGTCATTTATATCGTCATCATCCTCAAAATAAAGACATCCGCAGTCCGCACCCATATTAACTTAAATGCACTTTGTATTAAGTCACTTTTCCGTTGTTAACATAAGGTATATTATGCATATATTTTTTGACAAAATCATCATCTTCCTCTACATTGCACGTCTCAGTGCTTAGTGGGTGAAGGTTCCTTGTAGTGAAGCTACTTGATTGCCTGTAATTATTACTATTGTGGTCATCATGCGATCTGTCGTTTATGGTCACCAGTAATTGTGGTCGGATGTCTCGTCTGATGACTTTTTGTAATCATACGTCTTTGAAGGATTTAGGATATTGTTGTTGACAATGCGACAGACGGTACTCGGTTATTTGGTTTTAATTGTTTGTACTCCAATGTTGAAACATCCGATTTAAAGTCGTTGGTTTCTATAGTTGTTATTGCTTTGCAAAGGAAATGGAAATTATCTTTAACTTAAAACGTTTTACCGTATAACTTAAGATTAAATGTAAATCAATGTCAACTAAACATGTAATGTGTATAAAAAAAATATTTAAACATAAGTCTTTAAAATATAGAAAGTACATCATTGAACTCAACCTACTTGTTTGAAAAACGACTTTAACGCATATTTTTGTGTCCATTACAGGTGGTGGTAGGCGGACGACAACGCAGAGCAGTGCAAACGCAACGAGGGATTCGCAACTGCTCTCCCTGCTCGCCGCGCGAAGGCGACAGCTTCTCAACGAAAGACTGGCGACGCATATCAATGCACTAGCGTCATTAGCACATAAGGCTAACAAGTATGTATTGTCTATATTCTCTAGTGAAGGGATTGTGAAGTGGGCTACTTTAGCTTTATAAGGCTGGAATCAGAATGACAGATTGATGAATGTCTCACTCATTTCTCAAACAAGCTCAATTAAGGTCAACCTTTTAACTTGACTGAAGGCACTTTTGTGACAATCATTATTATGTTTCCCAATTATTTAGAAGTTAATATAATGCAACATTTAATTTAACTTACTTACTAAATTTTGTACTCTAATTTTTGTTCTAATTTACGAGGATCTTAATATGTTGTATAATTTAATTTCAGAACCAACACAACATTCGCCCAATTAGAAGTCCGAGACTCAAATAACTCTATAGTGAAGAGGATAACGTTTGAGAATTCGAGCAATGAACCTCCGTCGACATTGAGGCTTATAACCTCTGATGGTTCGAAAGAAATTCGACAAGACCTAAAACCACACGAAATAAGACATATTTTCGTACCCAGGGTGTATCAGGACTCGAAGAGCAGAGCAGGTTTTATGAATAACAGAAGAAGAGAGGGAATCAATAAGTCTGCAACAATACCTGAACGTCTCGAAATAACTGAAAGTAGTATAGTATACGTCCCACCTGAAAAGTACGAAAACCTGGATAAAGATGTTGAGTTAGACCCCGAGGAAGAATTCCAGGTGGATGAATCAAATCACGGTCTTTATCTACTCAACTATTCAGACACAGAGAATGTAACACAAAACACGAACGTTAATACAACCGTCAGCGATGTTAAAAATAATGGTACTACGATCGAAACTACAACGCAATCTAGCGAATCTTCTAAAAATGAAACATCTGAGAAACCTGTTCAAAAGGAATCAGAAGAAAAACCAGAAACTAACATTATTGCCAACAGCACTGAGAGTAAAAATACAAAGTTAATAAAAGTAGACAATGAAAAGGAAAATCTCACAAGGTTTATGACTGATGAAATTTACAACCATTTTAGACCACTTGAAACGGAGTTACCCGTTGAAGAAATGGCCCCTTTCAAATATTTTGGACAAAAATTAGGAGGGCCGGCTATAAGTGATAATCTTACTAACTCCCCAACACTATCAGCATCTACAAAATCTGTGAATTTTATAGTAGCACCATTGGAGAAAAGAAAGTTCAATTCAAGATATTCAGCTACAGAAAAGTATAAAAATACTAGCGTAGACGAAGAAGAAATTAATGAAGATATGGACGTATCAGTAGTTAAAAATGTTATAGAGAAAAATAAAATCAGAAATACAGTCAAAGGGCCAGCTCCAGCACGCCACGTTGGATTGGTTAATGCTTATAGAAAGTTTTCGACTACTGTTCCACCAACTACAAAATCACCTAATATTGCTCAGCTCAATGTTACTGAGTCCATAGTTCAATATTCTACGCCTAGTATTATAGATAAAAACAAAGATAGTAATAAGATAAATGGTACTGCAACCAATAACTCCGCGTTAAAACTCAATAGTACTAACACAGCAAAAGACATTCCATTAAATAAAACTATAACGCCTCCCACTTCGCCAAGAAATTTTACCAGAAATTATTCCAATATCAGGCGACGTCCATTAAGAGTGACACCAGCTAGTACTGAAATAACTCCAGTACTCAGCACAGCGATAATAAATGCAACTACAACTGAGAAGGCATCCACGTCTGTTTATACAGCTGTAGTTACATCAGTGTCTATTACTTCTTCCATGAAAGGGCAGAATAAAACAGATGGTAGTTTGAAAGATGAAGACAATACTACAGTATCAGATATTTTAGAAGTAACTAATGGTACTATCCCAAAAGCAATCACTATTAATGAAACCGAGAGTACGACAGTCATGCCTTCAAGTTTCAGGCCTAAACACATAATTCGAATAAGAACAACAACAACCGATAATCCGAATCCTACGCCTATTACGTCATCTCCTGTAGCCAGCGAATTATCTACTAAGTATGTACCGCTTATCAAAAATGAAACTGAATCAAAGATATCTGAAAGATTGGCTAGTTTATTCCGACAGAGAAATATCGAAAATGCGACAAACTCGACTAGAACTAATAAGCATAGGAGAAGGCGACCTACAACGACTACTTCTACAACTACTACGACTACGACTCCAGAACCAACATTACAATCAGCTGAGAGAGTTGCGGAATCTCCTATGTCTACCACCCCAACGACGGCCTATGCTAGTTTCCTCACTTCAACGCTGCCTCCAACTACAACAGCCTTCAAACCATTTGTAGTAACATCTCGAACATCATCTGAATCAAGTTCCAAACCAGTATTAGTTCCAAGCAGTACAACTAGAAATGACAAAACTGTCAATAAAACGGCTGGTGAAGGAATCGAAGTACCTGCATCACAAAATGAGGAGGTGGTTATAGAGGCTGAGAAAACGTATACCGCGTCATATGTTTTAGCTGGTTTAGGATTTTTACCTGTTGCAGCAATAGTAGCTTTTGTTCTTAGAAGTATATTGAATAAGAAAACCAAAGAAATCGATACGGAGTACGAGGGGTACTTCGAAGATGGGGATATTAAGAAGGAGTCACCTATCACTCCTGTAGCAAGACCTCCACTGCCCACACCGACGAAGCCTGATCAGAAATGGGAGTTCCCAAGAAATAAGTTACGTCTTCAAACATTATTAGGACAAGGGAACTTTGGTCAGGTGAGTTACCAACCCAACATAATCAATAATCGCTCCAATTCGCCTTAAGCTTTACTATAAATGTCAATAACAATACCATTTCTGTTTTAGTTGTTTCTAGGTCACATTTTGTATTTTTCTCAACTAAAGAAAGTATGTACAATTTTAATTTCAGGTATGGAAAGCCGAAGCAGATGATCTAAATGGCCACGATGGACTGACACGGCTGGTGGCAGTTAAAAGCATAAAAGAGACAGCCTCGCAGAAGGAGAAGCAGGAACTTCTTCACGAGATATACATCATGCAGAAGATAGGAACACATCCTAACGTTGTAACGATACTTGCTTGTTGTACTGAACTAGGTAAACAAATTACTCTTTCAAAGATATCTAGTTTTTACGGTTTTCAAAAATTCTCTGTAGTAGACTCAATGGAATCTGGATCTATGCCCAATGTAGGTCAATACCCACACCCCCTACTTCTTAGACTTATAATGTAATTGGTAAAATGTGACTTGAATATGAGTGTGAAAATGTCAACACTCTGTTTATGCCCCCTTAAAAGATTAAAAGGCCAGTTTTGCTCTTTTACATCTTATACACACCTTTCCTCATTAACTTTTCAGAGCCCTATCTTCTAATAATGGAGTACGTTATGTGCGGCAAGCTGCTCACATACCTGCGCGAGCGTCGGTCTCGACCTGACCGGTTCAGTGGCAGTGGAGCGCTCACGTCCAGGGACCTCACTGTCTTCGCTTACTGCGTGGCAAGAGGGATGGACTACATTGCTTCAAAAGGGGTAAGAAGAGTTGAATAGAGTGCATTATTTTTTTATAATATTAATAATATATGAGGTCAATTTTTTTAATTCATTAAATAGGAACTAAATGGTATGTATAGCAAATCTTCCAGTAGTGTGTGTATGACAAAGTTTTAGTGTTTTTGTTGCGATTATAATTATCAGCTCGGTTAAAGTATTATTGGTTTTTTTACTCTTATGTATTGTATGAAGTTCAGACCTGTTAGGCCTTTGGCAATGCGATCGCTCCCTTTTACATTGCACTTAGAATATAGATAAGCACTTTGACTTTTGAATATGTATAAGTATTATTATTGATTAAGCTGTAATTATAATTCCAGATTGTTCATCGGGATCTGGCAGCACGTAATGTGTTAGTGGACCACAACAAGCTGTGTAAGATCGCAGACTTCGGGATGTCGAGGTGTGCGGGCTCAGGTGCCAGGCAAGCACGAGGTGCGCTACCCGTGCGTTGGATGGCGCCCGAAGCTCTGCTTTACAACGTGCACAGCCACCAGACTGATGTCTGGGCCTTTGGTATACTGCTGTGGGAGATCGTCACGCTGGGTCAGTTTATTCATTACGTGTAAAATAATTACTTAGAAGGAAGCGAAGAAATAATATCAGATTAATATATCGAACCGTTAATTAGTCCGTAAAGTTAAACCATGATAAAAAAATATATATATCAATTTCCTTCTAAATTATAAAAGAGACATTTAGCAATTCTCACACCTTGTCTTATATTTCCAGGTTCAACGCCATATGCTACGATGTCAGGCCGTGAAGTGTTAGCAGCAGTCACGGAAGGCTACAGGCTGGAGCGGCCTCCACACTGCAAGCCGCAGCTGTACCGCGCCATGCACTCGTGCTGGCACGCAGACCCATCCCAAAGACCCACCTTCGCCGCCCTGAAGTCTCAGCTTGCAGAGCTTCTCGACAATGAACCTTCAGAAGGAAACTACGTGGACTTGGACTCCTTTTACCAAGAGTCCTCGGTTTACAGCGACCCGTCGGCCATTATTAACGATGATGAAGGTCTCTCGGCAGAGTATGACAGGGAGAGGCGGTGCTTTAGAGAGTGAGTACTATTGTTTGTAGGTTTCAATCATATTTAACAGGCGTTTAGTTATGATCATACTAATATTATAAATGTGAAAGTTTTGTTGTTTGGATATTTGTCCGTCAATCACGCTAAAACTACTGAATGGATTTTGATGAAATTTCGTATCAACGGGTAAGGACTGATTTAGGTGATAGGATGTTAATTATTTTTATCCCGATAAAACAGGAATCATATGTCACTCGGACGAACTCATGGGTAACAGCTAGTTTTAATTAATTTGTATGATTTATAAAAATACTCATATCACAAATTGTATTCTGTAGGCTCAGCACCGGTCCAGCGAAATTTGAGAATCGAGCATTCAATTTCCGCGATGAAGAGCTACGAAACAAATTCGGTATCGGCACACCGCGGATGGGAGGCTTCGGGATCAGGGACGTTCCCTTCAATGATAGGAACTTCTCCGACGGCGAGTTCAACGAACGAAACTTCCCGCAAGAAAATTTCAGTGATACGAATTTCACTGAACGTAAGGATGGGAAACTATCGACTTCTAGTTTTCATCGAGAGAGGGAGCGAGAGAGGGAGAACCCTTTGGTCAGTAGGAACAGCTTTAATGGCTTTCCCAGGGTAGGCACTAGGGATAGGGACAATCACTTCCAAATGGCACCTGATGGGAGAAATAAGAGGGTATCAGAATTTGAATGTGATATATGAACGCATCGCCAAGATTGCGCTTGATTGCTGCATAGTAGCACCAAGTGGGTCGTGACTTTAGCGTTACCTGTTGAAGATATAATGGGCATAGCTTAGTCTTATAAACTGGTATTAGTTTCAAAGAGAGGAGGTAATAGTAATTTGATTACTGTGATCTATGTAATGTACATGGAAGGCGAATTTGATTCGACATATGAATACGTAAGCTGTGTTTTGTAAGAGGTCTCGAATTTATATTTTGATACGTTTGGATATTATTTGAGGAATGGAGCTCTGAATTGATTGGTAGAAGACAAAGTTATGCCTGCAATATCTTGGAACTTCACATTCCGACTAATTCAGTAGAACTCGACTGAAATGTAATTAATACGTGTGTTTATACTTAGGCATAATCCGCCAAACACTAGCACTGATTTGACAGACACTGTAATTTTGCACTAGTGTGGAATCATGACATATCAAGTTAGAATTTCATACAAAATGAAATTTCATTACTTGACAACTATGTTTATAATTGTAAATAATTTGTTAATTTATAACAGTATTTTTATATTAATGTATGCCGTGGTTTCTATGAATATTGTGTAAATAAAAACTGTTGTGTATGTTGTTTATGTATACGTGTTACAGGTGGGTAGTATTATGTACACTTCGCAATTGATACAGATTGTCATTTTCACTCTGCTGTCTTCAATGCGACAGCAAATATTAAAAAAAATATGTAGTTCCAATATGAATTGCATAAAGGTGTTCGAAGTAAGTTTCGTTTCCATTTTCAACATTTTAATATTTTAAGTATCAAATGTTTTAACAAAGTTGGATCATAATGGTGCTACACATTATAATATGGACATATTGTAAATATCAGATGTTATATTATAAAGAGTGTTTTTATTTTTTTATATTTTATGTTATTTACTCGCAGTTTTCTGTTTCTCTACTCCAGATGTCGCTGTCTAGTCTCAAAAATTGTATGATTGTATGATAGTATTGGTTATAGTAAGATTTGATTATATTTTAAGTTTTAAAAGAATTATTTTATTATAAATAAATATTAAAATGTATTGAAAAATTTATTTGTTGGTTTGATTTGATAAATCCATTGGCCAAAGTCTCAAGGAAATGATTGTCAGGAAGATAGGCAAAATATGACATCATATTTTCCATAAAATTGAGGATCAAAACGTTATATTAATATTTACAGAGTGTTGTGTATTACAAACCACTCGTTTTTCATTACGATCGAAAAGTTTTGAGAGAGAACATCAAAACATTTGAAATCTGAACAAATTCCTTTAGAAGAACAGTTATCAATGTTAAGCATAGCAATGTGAAGGTATTTTATACATTAATTACAAGAGTTAATACTAACAAATAAACTGAAATCATTAATGCCCATCGCACTACGCTAGTATTATAGTCCAATACTAGTATGTAAGTGGGCACAAATTCTAAAATTGACTTCAAAAGGGAAAGTGCAAAGTATACAATAACGCATTTATCCGACCCAGCTTACTCAACAGTAAATACCGCAAGTGTACATTGGGTGGCATCATCGTGCAGCGCAGATAACTGAACGTTTGTCTATTGGTACCTAATGATAGTGCTCGCCACTGTAATCGGTACTTTCATTCACCGCAGCCTGCGCACCGTTGCCTAACGTTTATTCATGTCCTTTGTTATATAGTGTGTTTTAAAATCGTCCCACGATTCATAATCTGTACTTGTACTATGGTACAAGTATTATGCTATATGTAGCATAATAGCATTATAGCGTAATAACACACTCGCTACTAGCGTTGTACCAAAATGGAATAATAGTAAAGTAGCACTATAGCATAGTTGTAATGTTCGATAATAGGTCAATAGCATAGTAGCGTAATAGCATAATAGGTAATTAGCATAATAGTATCCTAAGGTAAGAGTAAAATAGCATTAAGTATTACAGTACTAAAGCCTAATAGCATTACATCAAAGTACCATTATGTCAATAAAGCATAATAACATATTCTTACAATAGCATAATAGCTATATATTATTAGCATAATACCTATATAGTATAACAGCCATTATGTTTGTTGTTGTATAATAACAACATAATAGTATTGCTAATATAACAACATAACAATTTAAATTGCATTTTTTAATACGTGTAACAGTGACCTGACTTACTAATCATTTATTTACTTACTTAAAAAAAATATATTAAACCTCATTAGGTTAAGTTAAACTGCATTCAGTGGAAAGTTTACCAACATCCCCTGTAGCTAGATATTGCCGAGTTACGCACAACAAAGCTTCAATCACAAAGAAAGTAACAAGTATCTACAAACCGCACGCTTCTAATATACAAATTGTTTCCTTCTTTAGTTTATAACCTGCGGAGACAATATTGTACTCACGGAAAATAAGTCTAACGTGATAATTTTGCATTACTAGGAATTATAACACAAAGACATTAACTCACGCCTGTCTCCCATGGAGGTAGACAAAGACTATGAAACGCCAATTGCTACGATTCTTGCATACCTCTTTTGCTTTCTCGAAAGTCATCGATTAAACTGGTAACTTGAATTCATATTGTTTCTTGATAATCCCTGATCCCTGAAAATTAAATTCAACTCATAATTGTTCATAAGAGCTGGAAAAATATTAGGAGGACTTTTTTTTATGGGACAAGCCCGCCCTAACCTCCCAAAACCGCTGCAACTCCTGTAAGCCAGGATCTATAGTAGATACAACCATTAAAACACCGGAACATTGAAGTCCGGCGGGTCCCAGAGACATAAGCAACTGTCTTGGTTCCCGCAACGAAGTGAATCAGAAGATATTATAAGAGGAGAAGAAGAAAGTTTAGGAGGACTTATTGACTATGTAATAATTGGCATTTCCCGAATGATGTCAAAAATCTAATTACACACGATTGAATAGTAATATAAGTCCTTGAAAATCCGATCTTGCCGATATCCTTTTAGGAAATATTTTATGGTGCCCCTTAGTCAGGTTCCTACCCAAATAAACTTCAGACTTCGTGCTTGACTATCGGGCACATTGTGTCTTTGTGCTATTCACAGAACCAAAAACTTAATAACCTATCCGAGAATTAAGACAATGAAGCAGAAAGAAGAAACCATAAATATCTCGAACGTAGTTTTGCATCAGAGAGCAATCATAGCGGTCTAACAGTTACGTTATCTATGCTTTATGCTCCAACAAACAGACTGTAACAATTCTCATAACTATACATTTTTTGTAGCAACTTATCTTCTGCGAAGATGATTACCATCTACTGTTAATGCAATCCTTATAGAAAACCGACGTGAAACAACGCTTTCGTTGTGTTTCCTCGTATTAGTGAGGTTATCGGAGGTCCAATCTACCCAATCCCTGAATCCTCAACAATACTCAAATTCCTAAACCCCAAAAGACTGGTAATGCACGTGTAACGCCTCTGGTGTCCATGTCTCAGGTTCGATTCCCGGGTCGAGCAAAGTATTACTGGGTTTTTAAAAAAAATACTATAGTAGCACGGAGTCTGGAATTGTGCCCGGTATATGGCAATTGGCTCACCTCCTTTTACATGGGACTAATAACATAAATAGTGAAAAGTGGGTGTTACATTGTGCAGCGGCATAATGTACATCTCTGCCTACCCCTTCGGGGATAAAAGGCGTGATGTTATGTCATTTTATAAAAAACTTATCATGATTAGTTTGTTTAAAGGTAAAGTAGGAATGTTATTGAAAAACACCTTTCGGTAGTCACAGAACCGTGTGAGGTGAGGACGTTTTTAGTGAATTCTATTATTTCAATTTCAATATCAACAGTGGCATGGGCCAATTTATGGATGTACTGATTATTTCAATTTCAATATCAACAGTGGCATGGGCCAATTTATGGATGGACTGTACACCTCCATACATAAGAAAAGGTTTGTCATAATAGTCTCCACACTATGTACGGTGAGTAGGAGATGGAAGTTTAAAAAGTTTATGAAAGAACTACATGGAATTAGCTCAAACTCAATACCATTTAGTTCATTTAATATCCACCGAATACGAATACAATGTGGCACTAGGATTATAACTCAAGAGAAATGTCGATGGATCGGATTTGGAATCAGGAGTAAGCCCACAGAGCTCTGTCAGACGTATAGTCTAGGCACTTGTGTAAAGAATAACTACCATTGTCACCACCTCTAAACAATCTCTTAACATAAAGTTACTTAGCGGCACGTAGCAACTAAATTTACCCCTTACTTGCACTGTTAGGTAACACTTATAGATTGCTGGAAACAAAATGTCGTCAAAAGCCATTTTATCTTATCTTAGGCGTTCCTTAAAAATTAGAAGAGGGTAGTGAAAATAGACATATGTAAGTATTCTACTCTAAAAAAGAACATAGTTTTTATAATTTATATTAAATATGCAAAATGCTAATTAATTAACACTTAATTGGTTTTATTAGTTAATTAATTTTATCGATATGAGAATTATATTTGCGTCTATGAATCATAAAGAATAATGTAATATTTCATAATACGTTTTAATAGCTTTCATCGCGGTTGATGGAATATAATAGCTTTTTAATTGTAATGCCATGTAATATAAATATATAAATAAATAAACTATTGTTATTTATCAAGTAAATGGTATATAAAAAGATTATCGTTTTAAAGAATCAAGCATCTTTAAAGTTGTAGTAAAATTCCATCGGTTTACGCCTATTGCGTAACCAAATTCTGATCGTTGCGAAATACATACATACATAATAATATTAGATAGTCTAACACTCGCTACAAAAGAATATTATGTGTGTACTACAATACATCGACATTTAGCAACAATGGAAAACTTCGTCACCGTGAAAGCTTCTTGTAAAACAAAATGCAGCCTCATCACTATCAGTTACATTATTGGGCCCATCCATACATTTTATTCCAGTTACATAATACGCCAGACATCAATGAATAGGTGTTAATTTTGACACCGATATTACCTTTATACCACCAACTTAACTATTGTAGAATGATAAGAGAGTTATCAGATGACCAGGGATGACCCCGGTGTGTGGTGAAAGTCGTCAGTTCCGGTATTATCCGACACTTGTAAATACAAGATGAGAGAGTATGTTTGTGTGCGTGTGTGGGGGAGCGCATGCGTCCATTTGACGTTCAATCGCGAGCGGAGAACTGCGTGCGCGCATCGCTGCGGAAAAGACATCAACGCGTTCACTTAATTATTTTTATACTATTTTTTTATCCAAATGTGTGGTCGTGCGAAGTGCTAATATGACTTAATTCTATCGTAAAATAAACAATTGAATATATAAAATATTATATTAAAATGGCGCGCCTATCAAGAGTTTTTCTTTTCGCGGTGTTAGTTGCGCTTCTGAAGGCGGATGATGACTTAAAAGACTTTGAATTCAGTGATCCTGATGAGGTGATGATTGCGCAGGAGTCTAGACAATACCAGACTGTAGTAAAGCCTCCTATAAGGATAGTGAAGCCTACTGGAGTGACAAATTCACATAGACCTCAGTACAATTTGGATTCTTTTGAGGATAGGTCTCAGGATACATTGGAGGAATATGATAACTCGCCACGAAGGAGTTTGGTGAAGAACTATAAATCGTCTCATAAGATAAGAGCTAAGGATGGGATGGTAAAGGATGCTGTGTTGAGGGCGTTAGAGCGGAAGGACCATGTGGGCAAGTTTGCACAGATCCTGCCCATCATTAGGGCGATGTCGGGGAATCAGAGGGTAGCACTAGCATCGTTAGTGTCGAGCCAAGTTAGTACCCCACCTGGAAGGGCGCCGCTGAATCTAGCCCAGGTAAGATTTTGAACTGTGTTCTACTTTTTTATTTTTTCAAACTTTTAGACGGTTGTCTGATTCTTAAATTATCTGTATATTGAAATAAGCTTATGATTATTTCAAAAAATCTCTTATTTCTGTTAGAATACTATCATCTTATTAATATGTATCTTCCAAATTGATTTTTCGATTTCTTTGATAATTTATTCATTGATATCAATTTTCAAAATAATCATAATAATAATAATAATCAAAAACATCAAAACATAACGTAACCATCGTAACATTTTGTTATCTAACCGTAATTTCGAGGTGAAGTCCGTTTCATGTCATTGACCAAATCTTTTAATGCAAATCTATCGTATGTGAAAATCTTATAATGTGCATATTGTTTGGAACGATCAAAGAAATCCCACGAACAAGAGAATGAATTAGATGCGTATCGAATTCTATTATAATGCATTAGTTTGTTCATTGTTTTTGCTACGAGTCTAGATCTGAAATTTATAGCCTCGTTAGTCGAATGTGCAATTACGTATTCTTTGGTTTTAGGTTCCTGAATTATCTTTGTTATTGTCCGTGCTTTGTGTACGTTAAACCCGTCGGACCTAACTCTAATTAGAGATGGGCGATTTTTCGGATCAATACTCAAAATGAATAAATGATAAGTAAATACTGAGTAACTATTTACCCATTTTTTTTTGGATGAATATTGGAGTAAAACGGATCTGAAAAACTATTTATCCCTAGTTCCAATTGCCAGACAAATAGGGTTGGGTTTGACAAAGAAGTTGGTCTCACATTTAATAGGTTGTAGAGGGCTGTTATTCAACTAGTAAAGACTCAGGAGCAACGCCAGTTCTAAAACTAACTGGGAAAAAGTTAGGGGAATGATTATTGTCGTATATGTATTGCGTATAGACTTGCTAGTATTCAAATACTGGATAAACCTAGCTTGTTTGAAATCAAACTAAGTATGATGATTAGGAATTCGCACATACTATCTACAAAAACTAACATTTACAAACTGTCACAGCTAAAAGAAAGTGCCCATATAATCTAGTGTTGGCACGCTATACCTCATTTAGTTTACTACTTAATCTGGCATTGTCACCGTGTTCGATATCGATGTGTGTCGATGAAAATGGACTTTCCCTAATAGCTGGTTTTTGTTTGAAATCTCGTTGCCATGACAACGCTAAAAATAGGGGAATCTGCGCATGTGGGTATAAAATAAAGGAAGGTAATTGACGACACTCATTTTAAAATGTGTGTAAATAATGCTGTAGGAGCTTCCTCGGTCAAGTGATTGGAAGTATTACTATAGATTAAGCATAAAAAACGAAATATGATTTAAATTGTGATGGATATACTAAACTTAACTTTAAAATATATTGAACTAGGCAGCTTAGTATCTATTTAAATAGTACTTGTAAGTTTTTACAAGCTAATGTTACACCATTGTTACATAGTCTTGTTGTTTAAAATCTATTCATACGGCGTTTCCCCGTCCATACACTGGCGGCCAACAAAAATGCTCCACATTATTATTTTACGACACAATACGGTGAGAGAATTGGTTCACACAATTATCGAGTTTTTACTTTTCCGTTTCTCTGGTGCAAGCGTTTTGTAATTACTCATGTGAACAAGCTTTATGTCTAAACAAATTGTATATAAGTACCCGGACAAATAGCTATTTGTTTGCGGAAATAAGTATTTGTATCGTGATTCGTTTTTCCTTAAATGGCGACAGTCAATAAAAGCAGTGAATTTAAGTAATATACTAAACTATTTTTAATTAATTACTTAATTCACATATAAGTACTAGTAGTGAATGTCAAACACTTAATGTATGTCAATTTAACGAAAGGAAACAAATATTTACACAAAGTAATGTGCGGTTTTGTGACTACAGTTTTTTGCTGAGTAATTTAGTATTGAGATTGTGGAATGTAATGTATTATTTGAAGAAATATTTGCCCTAGTTTTTTAGTAAGATCATTCTCAGTCACTTTTTCTGTAGTTTAGTTTGTTAATTGTTTCATTAAATAAAGCAAATTGCTTGAAAGTGTTAAAACTCAATAGATACTCGCTAGTTTCTTTTCTATTCAAGCTGTATGTTGCAATAATTCCGGTTAAATGATAAAAATTAAAAACAATTTAGATACCTACATGACGCAACCGCCAATTTTTGCAACGAAAGCTAACAATTTTTCGCTATTAAGTATCGTTAATGCTGTTAAGACATTAGAAATTCAAACATGGCGTCGATAATTCATTACAATGTCTATCACATAAAACAACCTCATCGTAAGAATGATAGTATAGAAATCACTTGAGGAAGCTCCCATTTCACTTGTTAACTTTTTCTTAATAACAATTATGCTGACAAACATTTCATCTCACTCATTGTTCTCTCGAAGCTATCGTAATCGTTCGATGAAGAGATTTCATTAGATCTCCAATATCACGGAACTGGGTCAGTTTTTGTGTCCCGCAGTGTAATTTTCACGCTTCTCCGTATTGTATGAGATTTGTTGTTGGCTTTGTTTGTACAATACTTTCTTTGTTTTAATTAATTAACGCACGAAGGTACTAGAAGTAATTAGTGGAATAGGTTCCTCTTGTTTTTTCTCTGTTAAATAGATTAAGGGTTTTATTATTGAAGACTTTCAGTTCATATGCCAGTGGACATTGCCAATTTTGTGCATGGAAATAAGTATTAATAAAAAGCTGACACTAAATAGAAAATGGCTAATTCTATTATAATGTTTATTTCAATTTTATAGACATATTGATAGCCTAGATCACGTGCTAAATATATACTTGACGTTTTACTAAATACAATAAGTTTTCTTTTCAGACTATTGTATCGCAGAAATCAATTGTCCACAATTATCAAACAGCAGGTGTTGTAAACATTCTGTCGTCATTTTCTTTTGACAAAAAATAGTACCGTAAAGAGTCGTGGCTGAAATGAACTATTAACCTTTTGTACGAAATCTGTATTGTTATTGTAAAGACTAGGTTTTGTAAAAGAAAATCTATTGCACATTTTCCATCTAATACTACGAGTAAATACCTATTCAATAATTTTTGGTCTTGGTTGAAAACTAGCGAACTATTTGTGTATTTTTATATTGTAGTGATAAAATTAGACAACAAATAATAATACTACATATGGTATAGAATCATTGTTTTCATATATTGTCATAACCGCTTATTTTACTCTCTAAATAAAATCTACAATTGCGACAGACGAGTAAACGAGCAGACGGATCACCTGATGGTAAGCAATCGGCGTCGCCCACGGACACCTGGAACACCAGAGTTACAAGTGCGTTACCGGCCTTTTTGGGATTAGGAGTTTTAGGATCGTTGGGGATTCAGGAATTGGGGTGATTGGGGAAAGGTAGGGTAATTGGGCCTCCGGAAACCTCACTCACACGACGAAACACAACTCTAGCGTTGCTTCGCGTCGGTTTTCTGTGAGGCCGTGGTATCACTCCGATCGTTCCGAAGCATGGCTTTCCCACACTTAAAGTAAATTTAGTTAAAAGTTACATTTACAGATAAAATACCTACCTACAACAATCGTCAAATCGCTAATACGTAACAGATTCATATCCTTTTACATAAAACTACAAAAGATTACTAATTTAAGTAACTTTAACCTATAAGTATACGCTTCATTTCGAAATTTGCCCTGTTAACATTGACATTAAAGGTCAAAAATTCTAAGAGGTTATTTGAAAAGTTATCGATTAATTAATATTATAATTTATGTTGCCCTTGTACCTACTAAGTGTTAGAGAAATTGATACAAGACGAACAGTATGTCAATGCCAATATTTTGATGAAGGGTATAGTATACAACACAAGTTTTGTAATCTCATCGAATGACTTTGTTATCATCAGATTGAGAAATAACAAAATATTTTATGATTTTTATTTAATAGATTTATGGCTTTTACATAATGTCAAGGTTTTGGAGATACAAAATAGGTACATGTTTAATACATGCATAACATGGAGTTTTGTTGCTCGAAGTCGTAAAACATGCGCTTTTTTATTGCTGTAAGGCAATACAAGTAATAGAAGCAAGCAAGCCTAATACAAGCAAGCCTAATATAAACAAAATGCTATAGACAAAAATTGATAATTTTGGAATTTAATGAGTTTATTTTTTTATTTTTATTATACACAGTATTTTCAGAATACCACAATCAAAAGTTTCTAGAATGTATGAGACATCTATTTTAAACTCAATTACATATGTATACTTAGGTCATTTTAAAACTGCAATTAAAAATAAAGTAAAAAGAAATGTAAATAATTGATTTTATCACTTCAACGACTGAACTTTCTCTCAGCATTTTTCAATTAATTATTCAATTTAAGTATTGTTTTATATGTTGAAAAGGATCTATTTTAAATGTTACTGAATTATTTATAAGTAAATCTAGAATATTTTACGTTTAAGGCGAATTTAAATGCTTACTGTGATAGTTTTTAGTTTCTCTGATACATACTAAATATAAGCATTACAGATTAGGGTGACATAACAACTTGAGATTCACAACATGGTAACAGAATATAATTATCTGACTAGGAACTATTATAGAAAGCACTAGAAATGCATTTCTGGAAAAAATAAGCGTGATATTCCGAAAATTTATTTAGACATTAGGACAGTTTGGGATGGAGGACCGTACACGGTTAGATACAGTTGGTTCTAGTTGGTACACTAAGTATGTGTGTCCATGTGACCAATTCGTTAAAAAGACACTAGTTAACTTGATACTCTTTATCAAAAAACTTAGCCCCACGCTAGGATCATCTCCTATACCGTGGGTGCGTTTATAAACATACATGCTCAAACACACATGACACCCATACTTAGAACAACAATTTGTGGATCATATAAAGTCCTCCGTCCGTTGCGGCAGCCTGTTGTCCAGGCACCACATCATCCCTGCAGTCAGTCAAATATGTCCACAAAGAAATTTATCTACATAAATAAATTGTCACATCTCATACAAACATCCCAGGTAATAAATCAAATCCTCGACAAGCAGCTGAGTTATCAAAAATAGTTCAGCTCCCGCTTTCATATCGGCGCCGGCGCAGTGCGGCATCCAATCCGATGCACTCGACTGACTTCCAACTATGCAACGTTATATTGTATGAATATGTATACTTGCATCTTTGTGGAACACTCGTAGAAAACATTGAGAACATCTTGATTAACGATATCAGATGTTATTGATGGTTCATGATTAGTTTGTGGTGTATAAATAGTATCATGTTATATAAAGATTTATTTGCATGACGTGTTTGTTTCCTAACCACCGATGCCTTAAACTCCTGCTTAAGGTACCCGCTTTTTCGAAGCGCTGCCTCCTCGCAACCTAGCCATCGCGAAGGACACACCGGGCGTCGGGGATCGCGAGACGATCTCCGGCCACCGTAAGCGCGGGCCTGCGGACGGCGAGCATGGGTGGCTCCCCATCCGACCAGAAACAGACCCGAGCGTACGGCGCGTCGCGTTCAATGCGCGCCTCAAAGAGACATCAGACCACCACAGATGGGGCCCAATAGGGCCGATGCCGATTCGGAGTCGCGGAGAACCTAACGGGTAACCGGGGCTCCGGCTCGACGTACAGGAGAAGGAACGGGGTGGTTATTAGTCCGTAAGAGTCTGACACTCCCTCCCGCCTCACCCAGGCGGGAGCAATCATTTGATAATTTTCCCCCCTTAAAAAAAAACGCGCTTTTTAAGCATAAGAACTAATCCATATAAGTGGCCTTTTGTCGAGTAGCTTGATTATACATTGCTGATGAATATGAATACGAGATTTTTCACATCTCTCTAGAACAGATAAAAAATAAAAACATAAAATAAAAATCTAAAACAGATAAAAAATGGTCATGGTTGTCTTTGCCCTTGTTTTGCATAATGTTGACGACGACCGACCTTTGCCTTTATTTGGTTCAATGAAGTCGATGTCGCAACTGTAACTTCTAGATGAATCTGTGATATTCTTTGCTATCAGCTGGATTTGTGCTATACTTAATTGGCAGGAATATTAATCTATGCATTCATTTAAATCATATTTTTTTAAATTCTATTGTATACTTAGCCTATGTTTTAGATGGCTATTAACTTATTCGAACTTATAATATTTTTTAAAAGTTCTACAAGTACTGTATAGTGTCTTTGTAAAATTTTCATCAGTTGTCCTAACTTGTTTTGATAAACATCATGTCATTGACCCAGTACATACAAAACTTTAGCTCGTTTAATTCAAAGATGTAGTAGTGGAGTACATCGGTGATTATCATATAAGTATACGCGTGACGGAACCACGGTCGCGTGACACATTTGTCAGGAAATCGTGTGTTTGTTTGTTTGTTTGTGTGCATGTCTCTTCGTGTTCCTGTCGGAAACTACTGTAGTATGTCTCGATGTCAAGGTTTTTGGTATTTGTCAGTTGTTACTAATTGCATCGTTGTTGATTACGAAGAAAGAGAAATTATATATTGATTATTGTAGTGTGAATGATGGAATTAGAGTTTCTGAACCTTGTGTTGATAATTTCGGCACATATCTTTGAGAACAGTAGCTCGAACAATGTTAAAATGAATGATTTTTATGGATCTGCAATAAATTAAGAGTGCAATTCTAAGTTGTGCCTTAATGTTAAACGATATATGTTTAAACCAATTACCTTTTGAGCAACAATAACTCTATAGTCTAAAAATAACTCAACAAGGAAAACATATAACCAAAAGTATTACTACCTGACATTTTACCACTGCAAAATTCTAAACAACCATAAAAGAAATACTATTACTACCGTATAGAAAAAAAAAAACACCATTCTCAAATTATACATTATATAATACACGTAATTTTAGTGGCCCTGACATACCGCCTCCATAGTCTACGATTACTTTCGTTTTCGATCACCTTACGTCAAAACTTTCGCTGTATGGTGTTGTATCATTTTATCTCGGGCAGGTTACGTCAGTTGCCTGAGGGTACTGATGACTTATTGAATGGAGTGGTTTTGATGGAGGATGTGGGTGATTTAGTGGTGTATGTGATGCTGATAATTGATTACTTTCGAAGGGATTGGTTGGTGTGCATGTATGTAGTATAATGCTGTTATGTTATAAGTTCTACAATAACAGAAGATAAGGTTTACTGCCAATAACAATTACAGAGGATGTTTCCAGACTCCGTAAACATAAGAATGTCAAAAATCTAAAAGGATTGATGCCTGATCCGACACTACATTTACTACGGATATAGAACTAAAGAGATGTTTATAGGACTTACTAGAAATGCCCATAAAAGTCCCAGTAGCAGCTTTTCTCAACCTTTCCCACCCTTTTTGGTTCTTCTAATAGCTTTCCATAAGCTATCAAATAATTTTCTATACTTAATTTCGGATGCTGTTATTTACAACAGCGATTATTTATATCGCCTTATAATGAGCTATGTATAATCCAAGAGATAGCCAATAAAACGTTTATGAACGTATAATTCACTTCAGTAATAACGATTACTCATGGTGATTATCTATAGACTAAACAGACACAGACAGGGCGAAGAAAAGTGAGATGATTGTGTGAAAAGTGATATGGTTGGAATGTTCAGAATTGATGGAGACAATGTACGATCGACTCTTATTATAACAACGTAAACTCTAAATTTGATAGATGATATTTTGTTATATTTTATGAGTATTGGCCAATCCTAAAGTTATTTGTCTTTCACAAAAATATTTGTGTTTCAATTCCAATCAAAGTTTACGACAGTTTATTTCATTAGATATGGTATGTTTTTTATAAAGCGACTTCCATCCTCTAAGTAGGTATTCGTGATTAAATTCTTTCGTCCGGGGAAAGTTGGTTATAAATACTCGCAATAAAAGGTACCATTTCAATTAATGTATCCGGATCGATTCATATTTAAATTTCGTTTACTATGTTTGATCGTCATATATGTGTGTATGCAAATCTATTATTTATTGAACATGTTGCAAAATTAGTTTCTTTTTAGTTTAAAAATGAAAATTGAAAACCACTTTTAGGGCAGGTGACATCTTTGCAGATTCGCCAGTTTAAAATTTATATAACATAACCTAACATAACATCACGCCTTTTATCTCCGAAGGGGTAGGTAGGGGTGCACATTACGGCACTTAATGCCACTGTACAATGTAACACCCACTTTTCACTATTTATGTTATGAGTCCCATGTAATAGGGGGTGAGCCTATTGCCATATACCGGGCTCAATTCCAGACTCCGTGCTACTACTGAGATTTTTGAACAAAATCCACTAATACTTTGCCCGACCCGGGAATCGAACCCGAGACCCCTTGCCCGGCAGTCGCGCTTGCGACCACTCGGCTAACGAATAAAATTTATATTTTTACTAAAATTATGGACTGGAATGGAATGAAATGCTGCCTCTCATTCATTTATATACGTTGCATTAGCGTAAGTATACAACTTCATAATTATAACAATACAAGTTTAGTATAAATTCGAAATAGAGTCGAAAAATCATGCCCAAAAATAAGGCTAACTGCACACGTAGTAGTAATATCAAACAATCTCAAAACCAGTAGAGCACAAAATGATAGAAATCTCAAAAGAATGGACACTCCACTTAACTGGAACTAGGTCTTCTCATGGCCGTGAAATGGGCATTATATGCCATATTGTCAGCCACTAGTTTCAATGTACAACTAAACAATTAGTCATAAAAATTAATAGTAGCAGTATTAAGTCGTTTGTTTTATGATCGTGTGGGAATTTCGAAAGATTAAGGTGTTTTGTTTTTGAACACTGATTTAGGATCTAAAACTTTGCAGTCCTCTAAATATTTTCTTGTTAGTAGTTAGCAAAACCCAGTAATACTTTGCCCGACCCGCGAATCGAACCCGAGACTTCTTACCCGAGGCGGTTAATGTCTATCTGACCGAGCAATTTAAGTGAAACAACAAATGAATAATAATCATATTGAGATTCTATACAATATTGAATGTTTCAAACTAATCTCCACTATTTCACAGTTTTGTGAGCAAAAACATAATTAACTAAAACTAAATTACCGACGTAAATTCGGATCATATATTTTAAATAATTTTATTTGACTAAAATATCATTCATCCAGTATCACGTCTCATATCTACCTACTTGGTTTCACTTGGTTCCTTCTTTGGTCTTGGTCTGCTTTCACATTCCTTCACACACTAAAATTCACACCATTTCTTAATTCTCTCTCACAAAATCAAAAATTACTCTACAATCTACATTGAACCTTTTGATCATTGCAGGTGAGGTCAATGTTCGGTAACAGTGACAACACTACAGACCTTATGCTACCAATACTCTTAGATATGGCTAACTTAATACGGAGAGCTGTCAGGTCAGGGAAGGAACCACGAGAAGTAAAACAGCCTTATGAACCTCAACCACAGTTACTCAGACGATCTTTCACAGAAGACTCAGAGTTAGATGATGAACCTTTTGACATGGGTGATGAGCCTACAACTCCTCGAATACGTAGAATACTCCCAAGAAACCACACTAACAAGCCTAACACAGGAGACAGTATTCAGAACACAATACATAAAGAAATTAATAACGTTACCAACACTAAAGTTGATGTAAGTAATCGCGATGTTAATCTAGATACAGCAAAACATTGTCTCACACTTGAAAAAACAAGAACACGACTAATAAATTACTGTTTTGTACTTAATAGGATTAGATTTTCTCACGATAAACATTGATATTAAATCATCGGCTGATGTAATTGTTACAAATTACCTACACAAATATTTTTATATAATTACATAGTTATCTACAAACCTACATAATATGTCACTGACATTCTTCAAATGTATTGTTGCTATAAGTCAATGCATACCTTTTTTACCTTTACGATTAACATAATAACTATGTAATTAAAATCCCTGCCTTCTTACATATTGATGAAAAATAGACTTTAAAATCAAGGACGAAATGTTTTATTCATATAAAAATTGTTATATGAATTAAAAATGCATAACCATGATTGTCCCACTGCAGGCCTTTGCTCAGCATTGGGACGATCGACGCTGAAAATAAATAATAATAAATAATAACAACTGTTACAGAATTCCACGACAACAACAACAACAGAAGCAACAACAACTCCTATGGCAACTAGTAAGAGCAAAGCAACAATAACATCTAGAATTGACAATGGGACATTGGACCTTACAGCAGAGTCCACAAATCAGACATTGGCTCAAGATCTACCAGTGGCAGAGAAGCTCAGAGCTTTGAGCAGATACACAGATAGAAAAGGTAAGATAACCTAGTTAAACTGTCAATCACCGCGAGGACACCGGTGACCGCAACCTATTGTTCTTTGATTGTGTCTATAATGACGGTACTCAAAGAGTTAATAGGGTTTTGGAAGTAAAAGACAAAATTGAAGTTAATCCTTCTGAATTAATTAGAAAAATAAAGATCAGTTCACTCCAATATCCAGTAAGTAAAAGAATAGGCCATAATCTTTTCTCCGATTTTAATAGAAGTTTTGCAATAAGTCTATTTGAGTTACCGTACTAATATATTTCTTGTCGTGCCTAGCAGTTGTACCTACATGATGCACATGCAACCTTAGTTAAAAAAAAATGTACGTCTAGCAAACTAAGTATTAAAATAAAATAAAACAAAAGACCACATTACAAAGTTATTCAAGTACATGACAGACGAAGTGAAATTAAAAGAAAACGTATATTTTCAACAGTTTGTAACGTGTTATTGCGTAAATTGTGAGTCGCAAGAAAATCTGTCTGATCTCTTGAACCGTCGTCTGTTTTACTGAAGCTCTCGTCACGATTCTATGGAACTCGTTGTAAGGCTAATGTTTTGAGAATGTTGACGTCATACCAAAATGGAATATTAAAAAGAGATATTGTTAAAATAAATATGTTTTTCAGAATCATGATTTATATTCCTTTTGTGTGTAACAGTATGAGCACTAACCAACCACCATGTAACATCTAGATCATAATAATATTGCAATGGTACATATGAGCACCAAAACTTTGGGCAACCCTTTAAAACAGTTTAAAGAAGTATACACATTCTTGAACATATTTACAGAACTGATTACAAAATTCCCTACACTATATTACAATTCTAGATCAATACTTTTATTATCTTTTTCAATTCCAGGCTCATCATTCCGCCGCGGTGTCTACCAGCCGAAGCCGCCATCTTTGATTCGCCGCACCACTCCAGAGCCAGCCGCCACGCCACCTTCTATTCCTAAGAGGAGACAAATTCCTCCCAGAAAGCTACCTACATCAGCAGCAGACCCTAATAAGTGCGAGCTGTTCACCAACACCCTGTGTTTGCATTCTGAGGATTATCCAACGTAAGTATAACAATGTTCACGAATTAATATAATTTTTACAATTAAATTAATATGAATGTTCAATAGAAAAAAATGTATGAAATTATTTTCTTTCAATTCTGTAAAGTTTGTTGATGCTAATTAATCGAAAGACCTTTCTATTTCATTTCTTGAGGATATCAGATAACTTTACGAATAGCACTACGGTTACAAGAGTACCAATAAAAGTACATGATACACAAATTATTAAAAAAAACCGCGAGGTAATAATTTTACTTATTAAGTATGTAAAATTATGAAAATTAAATAATAATCAAACAAAAAGAAATATGAAACAAGATACATAATATATGTAATATAAACTCATTCATAAAAATGCAGAACTGGTCGAGCAACATCCAAAAAAATATTCGATTTTAAATGGTTTCCCAATAATAATTTCGGAAACGGGTTTTCATGCGTTTATATGTGAAACATTGCATAACCAGGATTGTATAGAAAGCAAGAGTTATGTACTAGCGAAAGTATTTCTCTTAACTTGTGTGGTTTGCAAAATGTCATGTGATTTTCACGGTACGATAGGCGGAACCGTTATTGTTATGTGAATTGGGTCTATTGAGATTTACCTCCTTGTCATTGTGGATATTACGTTACAATGTATTTTCTTGAATTAAATGTGCAATTTGCATACTTGTGAATATTTTAGTCACTGTTTTGTAACTCCAGTAGAGTTTGGCGAGAAGACCAGAAGACTGCACGGTTGGCGCGGTGGTTGGGCATCTGGCTGTCGTGCAACGTGTCGCGGGTTCGATTCTCGCACGGAACAACACTTTGTGTGATCTACAAATTGTTGTTTCGGGTCTGGGTGTCACGTGTGTTTATGTAAACTTGTAGTCAAAGTCAAAGTCACAATCATTTATTTCAATTAGACCAGAAAGGCACTTTTGAACGTCAACAAAAAAAAAATTGTATGTTTGTAAACCCACGACACAGGAGAAAATCCTAGTGTGGGGCAGCGTTTTTTTTAAAAAAAAAGAAAACTAAAAAGTTACCTAAGATAGAAATATGTAATATGGTTTATCTACTAGGGTTATGCATATTTAAGATTATCATATTTAAACACATATAACACATCACATAACATCACACCTTATAACCTTGAAGGGGTAGACAGAGGTGCATATTACGGCACTAAATGCCACTGTACAATGTAACACCCACTCTTCACTATTCATGTTATGAGTCCTATGTAATAGGGGGTGAGCCTATTGCCATATACTCGGCACAATTTCAGGCTCCGTGCTACTACTGAACCTTTTAAACTCAGTAATATTTTGAAATGAACACGTGTTGTAGTAATTACAATGTGCATATTACAAACATTTTATTCGTTCCATATGGCAAAACTACTTAACAATTCAGCCACAATTTTTATGTTACTTTAATGTCTTCATTGTCTATGTAGAAATAATGCAACAGAGCCTAAATTACGAGAACAGATGTTAATATAGTTTGTTATGTAATTGTAATAGAGATATCTGTTGGTTTTCTTTGGTAGTCAATTACATTTGCAACGGTATTGAGGTTCGAGTCGTGAGCCATCGAGTCGTAACCGACGCGCAGCCTTGAAGACGAATCTTTGTCACATTTTCTAGTTGAGGCCAATTGATTTATTAATGTTTATCTTCAATTCTGAATTCAGATTTGAAAAAAGAAACGTTGGCTCATATTAGGATTGTCTCCTATGTTGTGGGTACGTTTACGAATACACAAGTTCACATACACATGACACCCAGACCCGAAACAAGTATGCAACAATTTGTGGATACGGGAATCGAACCCGCGACACGTTGCGCTGCAGCCGGTTGTCCAGTCACCGCACCAATCTATAGTTGTTGAGCTATAATTTAATATAATCTACTAATTTACAAAGTAAAGTGTACTGTAATATTATCTAATATATAATAATATTATTATGGATCTGAGAAAATTAATAAGTAATTTAAATCATTAGCTCTTGGATTTAACCTTTTGACTTATATTTATTTACCTATAAATATTTGTAACTAATCACAAAAATGTTTAGTAAATATGAAGATAGGATTTAGAAAGTATTTAATCACGATTTGATCGATGTTTTAATAATGAGATTATTAAAATCAGCGCTCACTGAAGCGTAATGTGTATCTAAAAAGTGATTTAGTTTTGAATATTGATTGTATTATTTATTGGATAATGAAATTATAATTTAGGATTTTAAATTTATGATAGAATAGTATAGAAAAGTCTTTTTGTATATCATAGGAATAACATAAAGGACAAAAATGTATAAATCTTATCACTAAAAAGCGATCTCTTATAGACAAGCAACGTTTGAATGGATTGGATAGACAGTAAAGGAAAGCATGGAGAAGGGATGCCGTGGCGTATGATATTATTAAACTGTCAAACACCAAGCGGTCACCGGTGACCGCAACCTATTGTTCTTTAATTGTGTCTAGAAATACGGTACTCGACGAGTTAAACAAATCAAATAAAATATTTCATTTTGCAACATTCAGAAAAATATGAACATAAAAAAGGTTTTCACTGTTTTAACATACCAATTTAAAATAACTAATGAATAAAATAAAATATGAAAATATTTACACAAATGGGTGCGCCATTAATGATTATGTTAATTGCACTATTTTGTTTTTTTTTTAAATCGAGAAATATTCCATAATATTCGTCCAATTTGATCGTAAAAAAATATATTTTAAATTGCAAAATGGCGAGCAACTTTCTAATTTGTGATTTTATTTTAAATATGTTATAATTTACGAGTTGCATGTTAGACCACGAAGTTATTTATCTAGGTTTTCTCTCGTGGTGCCTAGGAATTTTAATATTCAATTTCGTTAACGAGGTTCGCGTGGGCGTTAATTTGTTTTGGATGCTCTAGGTGTAATGATCTAGTGACAGAGAAAGGTATTCTAAAATTTAGAGTTTAAGTTAAGAATGTGAGTGTGAGTGAAAGCCGTAAGGATATTATCTTAGAAAAATGCAGTAACGGACTTACACTTGGAACCTAAGAAACCGAGTGACTGGCGTTCTAATTTCATTTTATTCGAACCGTATATAGGTAACTTTAAAAAAGATTTGTTTTACATCAAAATACTCTCATTTTAACGGTTACTAAATTGTTTATGTCGTACCTATATGCGTGTGTCTTAACATACGTTACAAATTAGTAAAATGCTAGTATCAAAAAATATGCATCAAGAAAGGGAACAGAAAAAACGTCAGTCTCATAATTAAATAATAATATACACTCTAAATATTACATTACACCAACAGCTCGAGACAGTCCTTAACAGCTCGAACAATCAACCTAGAGAAGGTTCAAAGTCCAGTAGTTTACTAGTTTATAAAGAGTCATAAGAAAGGTTTTTCTACCTTGCAATCAACACACTGCTCAACCCTCTAAATTGTATATGAACTTGGACGTCTATTATTCCTCATACCTCTTAAATGATGGTGGAAATCAAATTCTAAATCTCATGAAATCTTACTATTAACGGATCTATCACAAAAAAATGTATATTTACCATATTTTTGTCTGATTCCAGCGAAGCTATCGTTCAATCAATTCGGCGCAACAAGGCGGCTGCAGCAGCTCTGCTGGCTGACTACAGGGACCCCGGCGAGGGTGTGGTGGACGGAGTCACGGCGGCACAGGAAGCCAAATACAATGAACAGCATTATCTTGTGTCCAATAGGTGGGTAGTATACACACACATACATACATACCTTAACGCCTGTCTCCCATGGGGGTAGGCAGAGACTAGGGAACGCCAATTACTACGATTCCTACATACCTCTTTCGCTTCATCAACAGTCATCATTCTTTTCATGCATGCTCGTTAGTTAAGGGTACTTTTAATTTGGCCCTTCTTTAATATATCGCCAATTTGGTCACTATATGTCCGTCTAGGGCGCCCTCTACCAACGGCCCCATTCATATCCGCTCTGTGTACTTTTTCGTTACTATACTCTCACCCACAATATATACAATATAGTTAGAAGTACTATTCTTTTGAAAATAAAGTTTCTTCGCTTATATAAATGTACCTGTATATGTATAAGAATCTCGTGCGAATACAAACTACTTGCATTATATTTTGACTAATATTATTATAAGAGAGGATATCGGACGGTCATACCCCTCCCCGCTCAAAGAGTAGGCGATACGTTTCTAACTCACCTGGTAACCTATGGGCGGTATCGATTGTTTGCCATCAAGTGATCCGCCTGATCGTTTACCGCCTTTTAACATTACTATTACTTGTCACAAATAAAAACTGAAGATAATTCTTACACACAATTTTATTAACATTTCAGACGAGGTGACACAGCAAACCGCGACTTCGCTGGTGCAGGTGAGGCCGGCTTCATGTGTCCCAGCACTGTGAAGTACGCCAGACCGCAGCGAGCGAGGGCCACGTCTGGACAGTGGAAGTACATTGTCAACACTGGAGAGCATACACAGACGCTGAGACTGGAGAAGTGCCTGTAAGTTCATTAAACACCGTCTTCATTGTTATAATTTTAAAGATGTCTCTTGTTAAATAAAGATATTTCTTTAGTCTGTGATAATTCAAAATTTACTCTAAACAGAATGCTTAGTTTAAAATACAAAATAAAAATTATTTGTTAATAGCAAACAAAATAAATTATCAAATATAGCGCCATTTAATTCAATTTTAAATAAAAATTAGTATTAATTAAAAAAAATATCTAGTTCAAAATCTACTGACAAAAGAATTTTAACACAAAAGCTAATTACTACATAACCCCAACAAAATATTAATTAGTTTTATCAATGTCATCGCCCTAGTATTAAACTGAAGTATTGTATAAAATATTAAATTAAACTTACACAACTTTAAATTAAAGTAACCGATGTCTATAATTTCAGCATCATGTCAACGTCTTATAAAAATGTAATTATTTTTCTAGCGAGCACGTAATCAGGCTTTTCGTAAGACTCGTCAGACAATTAAACTTTAGAATATCATTCTATACTTTGTATTGACAACTTAATTTTCTTATTTCATACTTTAAATTCTTTATATAAAGTGTATTTTTAATTGTTTCAGGAAACCCAAAGAATCCTGTACTTATTTGACAGACAACTTCAAGTCGAAATGTGTTCAGGTGTACAACTACCATAGGCTACTAACATGGGATCAGCAGAATGGACTTCATATGGACATATTTAAGGTAAGATTCTATCGAGAGCAAAAACTATCTTTGTATATAATATTTGAAAGTAACTATGTAGTAATTTTTTTGGTTCAATTATAGCCAATGAGACTATGCATTCACACTAAATTTGCCATCTATCCATCTCAGGTTCCAACATGCTGTTCCTGTCACATTGAAGGCTACAGCGTATCCTTCCCACCACTTGGTCCCAGACTCCATGAAACCTCTTCAGAACACTTCCCCGGTGAAGATTTATCCTCAGAAACTGGGAACCATGCTTTTGAAAACGTACAATCTACCATTCAAAAACCTAAAATAAAATCACCACCATTTACTCATAAGAAGCCTCTAGAATCCTTCCCACCGTTCACAGAAAATCAGAATTTGATACCTGGAAGTCCATTTAGTAAGCATAATGATAACGAAGACTCGGTGCCACTAAACCCAATAGACTCGTATGGAAACACATATTTCCCGGACTCCTTCAATCAAGCCAGTTCAATCAGGCAAATCAAACGACCACTTTTAGCTAGAAATCCTCCCCAAACCAACTTTGATGAAGTTACCTTACCGAGCTACTTAGAACCTCCTACTCCAGCTGCAGGTTCTTCATTCAACAACTTTATTAAAGACACCTCACCCAAATTCAAAATTCCTGGGAGTCAATTTAAGAGGACTACGAGACCGAATACGGCATCACGAAGACCAATCAGAAAGAAGCTCGCTGGAGGACCAGACGATCTGGTATCATCAGGATCTCAAGCAGTTGAATATCCACCTAACAGCAGTGGAGACTCAGCAGAAGAAAATGATTACGAAGAACCTGACATTGGGCAAGCGACCTCAGTGAACACTCCAAAGCCAAGAGTGACAATAGCACCAAAACTTCCAGCTTTGACAACAGAAAAAATCACACCAGCACACAAACAAAGAGAACCAAACAATAATAATGAAAATTTTACTTCAAACGGTAAAAGAGTAAATTATAACTATCATCCAATTATAGACTTCTTTGATGAAGACAAGGCCATGGAGACAGAAGAATCTATAGATAGAGAAGACATAGAACCTAGCTTCATTCCAAGCGAAGAATCAGAGTGGAAACCCATAAATCACCCTCCTTCTAGAGATAGTCAAATAAATACTATTGGTAGGAAAAAACATAAATGACGTGTTAAAATAAAAGTAAAATATTAATTACGGTGATGTTATCATAATGATGAATAGTTGCAAGAATTAAGAAAAACAATTATTCATGTTTTAATTAATATATTTAGAATTATTTAGAACGAGCGATTGAGACGATATTTCTGCTGATGTAATATTAATATACTAAGCTTTTATAAAAGAAATTATCATATTGATAACAAGAAATGACCTTTTACTCGAACAATTTTAGATTCTATGTGAATTCGACGCGTGCCTATTAACAAATCTTTAGCAATTTCTTACTGTACTTCGTAGTCCCTTAGACAGAACGGGTATTAAGATTGCATCAGCCATTCTATAAGTTATCGGTCTTGATTGCTTGTCTAAACTCTCCCAGTTTAGTTATAGTACATTAGACTAAGTTCCACAATATTGTACACTTTCATCATCCAACGAAACCAAAACAAAGTTGCAATGTAAATTGTTAATATTTATTTATTGTTTATTATTATTATTAAATTGTAATTTATTTAAATTATTTGTAAGTTTTATACGAGTAAGTTTCTTGTAAATTATAAGGTTTCAAAGACTTGCCACTGAAATAAAAATTGATACCTATAATATGACTTTTTTTGAACACAAGAACTTTCAAAATGTTATGTATTAATTTTAATAAGTGTAGTATACATTTTATCAGTTTAGATTTAATATAAAGTACAACGGATCCAGTTAAGTAGCGTCAAAAGTGAAAGCTGTAGCCCCAAAGTTGAACGCACTACGTGAAGATATCTCCCATTCGTTCAAGCTCAGCAGATACTGTAACAGTTGGACAAAAAGTGTGTTGGGACACTAGTACGTAGCCTAGATGTGCACTCAGACAACTCATTGTGTGATAACAGACTTAATAGAACCTATACAATCTTTGCCAATGTATTATTAATAATTGTGCAATTTGTCATGTTCGAGAAATTAGTCTCCTCGACTCAACTGTTTCATGTAGTTCATTGGTCAGGTTGTTGTTACAAATTCGCTAAAATGGTCTGCGGAAATCGATTCCGTGTGTTGCAATACTTGTAACTGGTTTAATTTGAAAACAGACTCTGTTTAGTAACATTCTATGGTGGGATTGTGTGGGACAACTCCACAAGAAAATTATAATTTCCTATGAAAATCTGAATGAAAAGGTGTAATGAAAGACATTATTTTAAAGAATTAGAAGAGTATACTTTATTTATAAAAATAACAAAGTTTATAAATAAGTTCTCCTCATATTGAAAACATTAACAATTACATCTATCACAGTTAACAATAGCGAATAATAATATTACAGATTTTTATAACTCAGCTGATCGCTTTCGACTCTAGTCCCGCGATACGTAATGTGGCACTTTCTATTACAATAGACTAATTACTTTCGAAAATATCCAATCGCCATCTTACGAAACTATAACAATAATTTAGTTTTGCTTATATTTTACCCGCGACGTTTGTCTAACTACAACTTTTAGATATCTATTATTTATATTATAATGCATACATTATACAATTAATTACAATAAAATTACTTACATAAATCAAGCTGAAATATATAGAATAAGATTGCAATGCAAAAGGAAAATAACAAAATTACAATTGCTGTGTCAATTTGGTAACAACTTATAATGAACTATCAATCAACTATCGGTAGTTCGTAACGCGATAATAAGCCTTTTATTAAATGACAATTTCCTCCAGTCCATAACATAACATAACATTACATAAAAATTACAACATACACTGATTTATTTAATCCTTCAAAAGTTACTCAATTCAATAATAGCACAATAATAATATTATAATTAACAAAATCAATGATACATATCATTACAATTTAACAAAGCCAAAATCAATATACATAAGTTTTGTACAAATAACATAGCCTGAATCACTTCGGTACTGCATCTCATCAGAAGTATAGGCGTAGTAAAAAATAGTTTAGAGACAAAACTAAATTTTTTATAAATTGTAAAATAATTGAATTCATGGAGAATTATATTTTTACACTGTTCAAGCATCAACATAATAATACATTCGTTTACTAGGATCTACGATGTACCCAGGGGTTGTGGTCAGTATTGGGACGGCTTGAGCAAAGCTGTTTAGAAGAACGGCAGAATTTAATCTAGCATTATGGGTTGTGCTTTTTACTTGAATATCGTCAAAATCATTATTTTGTGGAGTTACTAATTTTGCACTTTTGTAGTTTCCACCATGCATTTTCTCATCTAGAGAAGGCTGGGAGTGGCTGTCATCATCTATATGCTCTTCTTCAGATGCATAATCGAATTCAACAAGTTTCTGATTTCTTCTGTCACCCTTTTTTGTTTTATCGTATTTAAGGTTACCTCCGTGCATTGATTGTATTGAAGGTTCACTCAATTCAATTATTTTAGCGCTTCGACTCCTATCACTTGTTACCTCTATATCACTCTTTGCTTTCAGGTTACCTCCATGTAAACTTTTAGGTACATAATCATCTAATTCAATGTGTTTAGAACTTTTACTTTGGGAAGTTTCGGCATCTTTAGGGTGGTTTATATCTGCTGGAAATTGTAGTAGTCTTAAATCTTCTTTCGTAGCCTTTCGATAATTTCCACCATGTTTTGGACCCATATCAATATCTAGTTTTTCTGAAAATAATTCCACGTCACTAAGATCATTAATTGCCTTTGCCAAGCCATCCTCTTTATATAGTTCTAACGCTGGACTTTTAATTAGCTGTTTCTTTTTAGGTACCGCTGGTATTTCTTTAATGATTTCAACTTCTTTAATATCTTGTTTAAACTGCGTCATGTGTGGAGATGATGTGTTAGCTGGGGTTTCTTTGTGAATTTCAATCTTTTTCCTCGTAACGACTGGTTTGTGTACAATCCTAACATTTCTAACAGGTATGACTGGCGTAGTAGAGCGAATACGTATTGGAACGGTAACTGGAGGAGCTGCTGTTGTTCTGACTAGCGTGTGTTTGATTGGATGTGTTGTAGCAACTTCAGTCAATTGTGGAATTTTTTCCTGTACTTCTTCAGCAGCAACCTTTTGGTCTTCAGCGTCATCTTCTTCTTCATCGTCGTCATCATCTTCATCATCATCATCATCATCATCAACATCGTCGTCTTCATCATCGTCATCTTTATCATGTTTTTTATCACCATCATCATCGTCATACTCATCCTCATCATAGTCCTCATAATCATCTCCCTCATCATCACGATTATTTTCAACTTTATCATCATCATCATCATCATCATCTTTGTTTTTCCTGTTATCATGTTTGTGTCTGTTGGTATTTTGTTTTCCATTTTTCTTGGATCGATGATGTTCTATTTTATCCTCCTCTTCTTTTTCATACATTGGCATATAATCATCCATATTAGTCTTAACTCTAATTAATGCATCCACTTCTTCTTTTTTCATATCTTCTTCATCATCGTCGCCATATTTTTTAATATCTGTGACTATGGTACTAGCATGCGATTTTTTCTTCTTCTCTCTATATTTTGGTACTACGGTGTCGTCATCATTATCATGGTTTTTTGTTGTGACACGTTCTTTCATTTCTGTCTTTTCCTCTGCTGGCTTATAGTTGCGAAATCGTGTTACTAGTTTAAGACGTTGCATTTCCGTAGAATGCTCTGGTTCTTCAGTTGTACTTTTCTGATTAGCTTTTTCAACTTTTATTCTTCTCCGGAATGAAGGTCTTACTGTGGTGGTGGTCGTTTTAGATGGTTTTTCATGCTTGGCATCTGGGTCATCTTCATAATCTTCTTTAGATTTGCTTGTTTCGGTAGGTGCTGTACTCGTTTTTTTTACAGTATTTGAAGCAGCAGCATTCTGAATATCAGTAGATTTGGGAAGAAATTGTCCAACATCATAATACGGCTTTGCACTAGTTTGTGCACCTCGAAAACGTTGACGGCCTCGATTTACCTTGAGAGAGTCTTTAATATTCCTTTCAGTAGTTGTGTGTGACTTATACGCATCAACTGTCATCGCTCGTTTATTTTCAACTGGTGTATATTCTGATTTATGATTAGTTGGTCTAATTTCATACCTTGGTTCTCCTCGACGTTGATCTACACTGACATCAACGAACTTTGCTTCTAAGTTTTCACTTTCATTTTTAATCGGTTTAGTTCTATCTTTTCTCCCTATGTCAACGTAGGTTCTTTTTGGTTGTTTATCTTCTATGCTCGATCTAGAAACCCTTTCCGCTACTCTACTTGACTGTAACTGTTTAATTAATGGACTGATATTACTGGTTGTTGTAGTTTTCTTTGAATCTTGTACTTGACTATCCCGTATAATTTTATATGGTTCATATACAAAAGGTGTTGCCCTTTTTCTTCTTAATTTAACGGGGACAAAAGTCACTGATTCTTTGTTATTAAAAAAATGATACGTTTTATTTGTATCGTTTGAGTTGTTACTGTTTAACGATCCGCTTGCAATTGTTTTTAAAGGTATCGATGCAGTACTTTTAATATTGTTTAAAATATCAGTATACACAAGTTTACCTTGGGTACTGTTGTTTGGCGTATACAAATTGGTGAGTAAATTATCTGCTGACTTATTTATAGAATCTTGTAAGTTTTTCTGATCAGCTCTCAGTTTATCTATAAGAATAAATACATTAGTGTTTTCAGCCTCCCTTAATTTGTCCCTTAAATCAGCAATGTCATTTAATTTTGTTTTCTGTGAATCTTCTCCTTTGAGCTTATATGTAGAAAGTTTTGGTGCTATAATAGGTTCAGGATTTGATATTATTTCTTCCTTAAAAAATGGGCTATCGAGTGGATTTTGTCCAAAATATTTTGCTTTAAAGCAATCAATTTTATCTCCAAGACCATTTAGACGTGGCTGTTTTTTTACTGTTTCGAATCTTTTCTTAGCGTTAGATTCTTCATCTTCTTCGGAATTGGTAGGATTTTCCCCATTTTTCAGTTTTTCAGGTATTGGATCCACTTCTTCATCTACTTCAGAGCATTCAAATTGTGACCGAGAGTCATAAAATTCAGTTCCACCATTTGATTTTCTCGGTATCAATTTGAGATTTTCAGCATATCTTAAAGGTGAATTTTTATTTATACCTTTTACTCGATTAAAGTAATATGGATATTTCTCTTTAACGTTGTCTGTTTTAGGTTTCGCTATAAGTTTTTCAAGTTTTGGATCATTGCTTGGTATAGTCAATGTTGATGTAATATTGATTTCAGGTACTTCAAAATTCACTTCCCTCTTACCAACTCCATGTTCCGAGTTTGTTATGATGTCTTGTTTGTTACTGTTATTATCTTTACCATCATTTTCATTACCACCATCATCGTATTCAATTTGATCCATATTATCTACACTCTTATTTTCATTATCTTCAGAGTCATTAGTCAATAAATCTTGCCTTTTACTTCTATTTGCAATTTCAGGGTCATCTTCTTTTTCAATGTTTGCTTCAATATTCTCTTCGTGTTCATCTTCAGAATAAACTTCGGCATCTGTCTCTTCTTCTTCATCTTTGTTATTATTTTTCCATTTTTCGCCATGTTCTAAGTTGTCTTTATACTCTAAACCTCGACCGTCAGTATATTTTCCACTGAAAGTAGGAATTTTGTATAAACCACCACTATTTTCGTGCTCTTTGAGAAAACCGCCATGGCCTTCGTGGTCAGAAGCATGTTTCTGTTCTCCAGCATGATCATAAGCGGCGTCTTCGTAGCCTTCTTCGCTATATACGGTTTGCGCTTTTGTGCTCTTTACTGCCTCTCGTAGCCGTGGTGCATTCAGGATTTCCTCGTAGGTCTCCGCATCATCAAAAGCAGCTTTTTTGGGCAAGTGCTTATAAGTTTCTGTTTTTCTGACTTGAGCATAGTTTTTCACAGGAATAAACTCATCTTCTTCATCCTCTTTTTTATCTGCAGGTTCCTGTTTTTGAAGTTCTAATTTTTGGTAGTTTGCTGGTCGATTTTGTTGCGCAATATTGTTAACAGATTCATCAAGATTGTTTCTTAATCGTTCATATTTATTTTTACCCTTTTCATATATATCATAACCATCTTGAGGCTCGGCAACATTAGAAGATGTTACTACTTGAGGATATTCGTTTCGTTCATCGTCATATTTCATTGCATGCTGTTCTCGTAAATTTCGAATATGGTTATGTAATGGGCGGTAGTGGGCTGGTCTTATTTTCGCGTATTGATTCCAAGGATGTTTAAATCTTTTATTTAGTACATTATTTCTAGTGGGATCATAATATGGTCTTCCGTAATACATAGGTCTTCTTTGAGGTTTGTGAATTTCATATTGTGCAGGTATATATTGAGGCGAAAAGAGTTTGCTGTCAGTTTTTTCTGGACTTTCCAAATATTCATCTTTAGTAATATTAGGTTCGCCAGCCTCTTTTTCATAAGTTTGTAGTCTGTTTTTGCTATCTTGTAAATCATTCCTAATTTTTGTAAGTACTGGATCTTTGTAAATAGCTTCTAGTGCTGGTTCTTCTGCATGGTAGGGATGGAATACTTCATAATTACTTGCAGTCGGTGTCACATAACTTTGCAAAGGACCATTTTGTTGTACATAATTTTGAAAAGGTTGGAAAACAGTATTCTTTTCATCTAGAATTTTATGAACTCCTAGCACAGGTTTTTGTTTTTCCGTAAACGGTTTCACTGGATAGGCTTTATAATGGTCTTGAGGATTTTGAACTCCATGGAAGGCGGCAATATCAGCGGCAAACTTAGGTTTTTGCGCAGTATATTGGAAGTACTCGATGGGGACTGGCTTGTAATACGATGGTTTTTTGGCGGGCACATTTTGTGGTACGATTATCTCCACTGACTCTTTGATCGGTTCATTATTCACTTCACTCGAAGCACTTTCTTCCCATGTGACTGGGACCTTTATTGATGAACACAGTTCACAACACAGTAACACTAAGAGTAAACAGGAGACTTTGGTCATGTGCATTGTTTACATCACGGATCGCGACGATGGTTGGCGGTTGACTGAACCAGGTCGATGGGCAACCGAACGGTTTTTATCTCCTCGGTCGTTCGTTGTGGACCGATTGCTTGTCGGCCGTTCGCTTTGTTTATAGCGTATGGTCCAAGTTATAAACCTATGTACACTTAATAAATAATAAGTATTATAAATAATAAGTATTATAAATAATAAGTATTATTTATTATGCGTATAACGTTCAATCTTTATGATTATTCAAAATTTAAAAAAAAAGGTTGGAATATTCGCCAAAAGTAACATGTTTTTGTCCCATTATCATAATTAACGCCGTAGTCATTGCGATCACACTAATTATTTATTTGGGGTAACCAACAGCTTCATTACAACGAATAACCATTAAGGACTAGATCAACACGTAACGCTTTTGTTTTTCAGCTGACAGTAGATACATTTTAAATCAGTGGCATACACCTTTAGAGGTATAATGCCTCGTTTAATTCTGGTTGCTTACAATCATTCGATATTGCTACATCACATTACTTGCACCAAATATCTGTTCAATGGAGAAATTAAGAAAAAAAGTTACATGAAAGATAACGAAACAAATAAATGGCTAACGTCTGGACAAAGAGAGCCGGATCTCGGCCTTACAAGGTGTTACGTGAAAACGTATGATTTATTATTTGGTTCACAGTACAATACTTTGGACCACGTGCCACATATTGTATAATTACATTGCTTTGTATAAGGGAGTATCTATTAGTAGTTCGGCTTAAAGTGAACTAAGTAGAGATTTTAGAACTAAGATTAAGAGGATTAAGTATTTAGCAATGCAACCGTCATTTGAAGTCGACATGATCATAGTGGTTTAGGTGAATTTCATTAAGCGATCATGAAATGAACTAACTTTGGAAATAAGTTATGTCACATTGATGTTCAATTAACATTCTTAAATTAAGGACTTTAAAGACTATTTTTAGTTCCTACATCGCAGTTTGTATGGAATTGTAAGGAATATAGTAATGTAACGTATATCGTTTGTTGTTGTTTAAGTTATTGCTATCATAGTATACTTCTCATTCATTATTCGATTGTTTAGAAAAATGCAGTCTGATATCATTAACAATCAATTTATATAAATAATGTAAAGTGTTTATTTTCCTGTTATTTATTATAAAGTCTTCAGCTATTGTTACTACCATTACAAATCAGATATTCTAAGAATGCTTGTTATTTCTAGAGGACATTTTCTTTTATAGTTTTTTTTTTTTTTGAACGTTGCCCCACATTAGGATTTTCTCCTGTGTCGTGGGTGCGTTTTACAAACATACAAGTCCACATACACATGACACCCAGACCCGAAACAACAATTTGTGGATCACACAAAGTGTTGTTCCGTGCGGGAATCGAACCCGCGACACGTTGCACGGCAGCCGGTTGCTCAGCCACCGCGCCAACCGTGCAGTCAAACTTATTATACCACTAAATTATACCACTTCATTGTACATCACATAGATATAACAAAGACATAAGTTGAATTAGGAGATTTTAACTTTATCAACATGAGATGAGAATTGATTTTCCTATCTCCGCACTTAGGTGATTAGGGAATCAAAGTTAGGTCTCCAAAAACTATAGAATCCATTTGTTTTCTTTCATTTACTAATGTATAAATGAAAGTTGTATTTGTAATTATTAGTTCAGTTCAGTTCATAACACCATGATTTCCCATTTGCTTCGGCCTTGCATATGACGTCTGTAGAATTGAACCGGTAATTATTTTTAGCTGGCTATGGCGAAATTTTGTTCAATGCGTGCAGTAAAATTACTAGTTTAGTTATGAGATAAAATTGTTGGCCGAAAGTGCTATATCTCTGTGGGAGGACAGATGTTTGGTTGATTCTGTAGTAGGGATTTCTCATTGATTTTATTTATTAGTCTTACTAAGCCTTTTATTTTGTCCTTAGTCGAATGATAGCTGAGCCAGATGTCTATAATTTGTTTGCAGAGCGGGAAAAGTATTGTGGAATAATTGTAGATATTCTAAATGGTCTCGATTCACCTCCCATATAGGGGAGAATAATAATGGTGTTTGCTCCGAAAATAGATACGACATTTTTGTTTACAAATCTGTTCCTTTATGATCTAAAAGAAAAAACAACAGCTGTTTGCTCTTGCGGGGTATAAAAGACAAGAGTAACAATTTTTGTTGAATTTTGCAATAGATTATTATATACAATCCGGGTATCAGCTGCATCTACAACATAGTCAATAGTCTCAGTAGGGAGCGCCGCTTGCAGTAGACGACAGGTCGGCCTTTCGCCTGTCTCGCCTAGTCGCCTACCGTGAAATATTGTAACCGCTTTTAGTACAACAAGTCTTTCTCATACTTGGCTACTACTTAGTGTCCAATATCGCTTCTGGTCTAAATATAGTTATTATATTGCACAAACTGACTGTATTTGGGTTGGGAAATATTTAGTTTGTTTTGATTATGGTTGGGTTATTAATGGTATTTACATATATCTATCATAGTAAAATAATTTTTTTTTTTAAAGAATGCTTTGGGCGTGATCTACAGTCGATACCGAAAACAAAAATATGAATTTTAGAATGTTTGTCTATTTGTCTGTATGTATGTCCGGGATGAATTGTTTTTTTTTAAGTGCTGCATGGATTAACTTCAAATTTTGCATGAATACCCGACCTATTAGTAATATTCATGCAAAATTTAAATTTAAGTTGGTAGCATGATAATATGTAGCCTATATCAACATATAGGCTACATATTATCATGCTACCAACTACGGGGGAAGAGCTATTCCACACGGACGAAGTCGTGGGCTCAGCTAGTACTTAATATTTCTGTTTATCACTTCGATAAACAATGACGAAGGTTCATCGTCTTGAAACATATGTGTATTATCATTATAAAAGTTTGATTCACGACAAAATATATTTTTTTTTAATAATTTCTTGAGTCAATACAGTCAGTCAAGAATTTAAACTCAGGCAAGTTTTATTCTATTTTTTGTAGTTTTTAGGTAATAATAAAAACTATTTCCGAAAGTCGTGATGCTACTCGTATTTACTTTAATTAGGGAAGAATAGTAGATTTTAAAAATTGTAGTCCATTCTTCAAAATTTCTCAAGGACAATAAAATAGAGCATTCTAACTCGTGGACCACGGTCCACTAATTAGGCAATCCTGGTGTCTATTAAGTATTTTCAAATCGTATCTAATTGGTGGAAATAGTAGCTATTTATTACGAGCATTGCCTGTAACGATTCAATGGTAAGTTTGTGAAACATTTCGAGGGGACCTCATTTATGTAATGTAACTGCAATCGGTAAATAGAGCAGTCGGTTAGAGTTGATGTAATGTTAGACGGCGGGTATGATTTACTTAGTCTGTCACCAATTTCATCAGGAGCTTGGATAGGCAAATAAAGAAATTCGTCGGCTGTCGATCAATCGATTGATTTTGGAATTCAATTTTTAGTTTAGTTATTAATAATGAAATATGTAAGGTTATTGTTTTGCTTTAGTACCTATCGATTATTTTTACAACAATAGTAAGCTATTGCTGTAAACTTTAAGCAAAATTTATGTGTAGGAGAGCCATGCTTCGGCACGAATGGGCCGGCTCGACCGGAGTGATCTCGACCGGAGTGATACCACGGCCTCACAGAAAACCGACGTGAAGTAACGCTTGCGTTGTGTTTCGTCGTGTGAGTGAGGTTACCGGAGGCCCTAACCTTCCCCTTCCCCAATCTCCCCAATCCCTGAATCCCCAACGCTCCTCAAACTCCTAATCCCCAAAAAGCCCACCGGCTTTTAACGCACTTGTAACGCCTCTGGTGTTCCAGGTGGGCGACGCCGATTGCTTACCATCAGGCGATCCGTCTAGTCGTTCACCGGCTTATGCCATAAAAATGTCTGGAATTGTAATATGTTCACCTCTAACTACATAGGATTTGTGACGTAACTGGAATGAATGATAAATTGTATTAGTGCACCTCTTAGGAAATAAAAAGATGTGACGATGTGTTATGTAACTATCACATAATGAAAGCGTAACATATTATTATTGATTTACTCTACTCATGTAATTTTCCCAGATATATAAGATACTTGTGAAAGATAGTAGTAGTATGGAGTCTAGAATTGTGCTCGGTACCTATATCGCAATGGGTTCACCTTCTATAACATGGGACTTATAACAAAAATAGTGAAAAATGGGTGTTACATTGTACAATGGAATAAAGTGCCGTAATATGCACCTCTGCCTACCCCTTCATATGGGATAAAAAGGCGTGATGTTATGTTGTGTTTCATAAGATACTGCAATAGAAAAATACTCAGTTTATAACAAAAACAAGTTTCAACACAATAACGTACAAAGCGTAATACTCCATAATATCAAACACACGCACATAACTATATCTTTTCTATCTAATGCTTTAATATTAGTTTCGTTCGCACGAGGAAGTTATAAATACAAAACTAGGTATTTCTCAACTGCCTGTTATTGGTCAATGGTTTGTTCTAGATAGTTCCAGTGCCCAGGGTCGATGACCTAGGGTCTAGGTCACCGTAGGCTGAATATTATTGTACAATTAGTTTTTATGATTATTCTAAACATACTTAGAATTGTCTATTATTTGTGTTGTAAGAAATTCTAAAATTTCATACAAAAGCCATTGTTTTTCATAACGTTTACTGTAAATATCTAAAATTCTTTAAAATTATAAGCAGAACAAAGATAAAGGTCTAGGTAAGATGCGTATGTATGTGAAATGATATGTTTGTAAACACACTAACGGCATAGAAGAGATTCTCAGCATAAGGAAATAAGGAAAATGTTAAAAATTCATAGAATTTAAATTTAAAGCATACGTAGTATTTCTACAATTTTACAAATAAGTACACCATTGTTTCGTCCTTTCCATCATCGTAGCACAAGACAATCAGCTAAGCGTCACCAATTCATGGTAGATCTTCCA